CTCACACACACACACACACACACACACACACACACACACACACACACATTACTGCAGTGTAAGTGTAAGGTCAGCTGTGTTTGATGTGAAGAGGTTTCTGTTTCCTGTTTGAAAGCGGACAGGACAGGAAGCGGGTGTCAGTACCTGTGTCTCAGGATCTTCAGCGCCCAGACTGGCCGCTCCCAGTTTGACCACATCAGCCAGTTTAGTGATGGTGTTAACAGACGACTGCGCAGCCTGAGCCAGTTTCTCTTGACTCGCTCCTGCTCCAGACACCAGCAGCTTCGTGTCCTCCACCAGAACTTTAGCCGTCTTCAGGATGTGCTCTCTGACAAACCACAGAAAACACAAAACTATTAACATCACAATCCGCTAATGATGAAACATACTGACACTAACGGATAAACAAACACATACAGGGGGCGACAAAGATTATATAAAAGGAAAGACACTTTTCTGTTACTAAAATTGTTTGTAATTTGCTATAAGTGCATCATGTTGTTAGATTACTTCTAATAATAAAGTAATGAGTGAAGTCTTTTTTTTTTTACTTAAATTGACAATGTAGTAAAACGTTAGCAAAGGGCTAGACTTTTTGCTGAAACAATCTAGCAATGCCTAGAAGAGTGGTCTGATTGTTTCTTTGTGGACTTTTGAGGTTTAATTGGATCTGAAAATGTTTACTGGGGACTGAACTGGTTTGAAATGGTTTCTTGTGAGTCTAATGAGGTCAAACGGGGTTTGAAGTGGTCAAATATGGTCTATTTGATTCATCTGAATTTCTTTGTCAATCTGACAATAAAATCTTCAAGCCTCAAGCATTTAAAACAGTTTCACACTTTCAGGCCAGGCTTTTTCAAGCTAACTTCAACATTTGTCTTCAAACTTTATCTGTCTACTTCAATTTGACGTTAAAAAAGTTTCATTATGTGATTTCTAAAATGTCATCAGATCTGCTGAAGCTGACTGGAGCCACAGCGTAAATGTCACATATGTGACCCTGGAGCACAAAAGCAGTCTTAAGTCGCTGGTCTATATTTGTAGAAATAGCCAACAATACATTGTATGGGTCTAAATTATTGATTTTTCTTTTATGCCAAAAATCATTAGGATATTAAGTAAAGATCATGTTCCATGAAGATATTTTGTCTTAAATTTAAATTTCCTACTGTAAATATATCAAAACTTAATTTTTTATTAGTAATATGCATTGCTAAGAACTTCATTTGGACAACTTTAAAGATGATTTTCTCAATATTTAGATTTTTTTGTACCCTCAGATTCCAGATTTTCAAATAGTTGTATCTCGGCCAAATATTGTCCTATCCTAACAAACCATACATTCAGCTTATTTATTCAGCTTTCAGATGATGTATAAATCTCAATTTCGAAAAATTGACTGGTTTTGTGCTCCAGGCTCACATATAGGGACTGGAATCATTGGGAACTGAATGATTCTGGTTCTTTAATGGTTTCATTAACAAAACATCCCTAGCATCTGGGCTGATCTGCAAACAGCTGTGTTCCTGTAGCTTAAACAGTAGAGCAAGGTGTTTGGTGTGAGCAATTTGAGTGACATTTGGTGTCACTCAAATGTCCACTGGGCAGTTTGGGCGCTGTAGTTTTGGCGGAGGGAGTACCTGTGGTCAGCAAACGTCTCGGCGTTCTCTCGGTTGAGAGTGCCTGCGGTGGCAAACATGATGGTGGTGTCCAGATCAGCGATGATGCCAGAAACAGCACTGGCAGCAGTAATGCAGGCCTGAGTGCCACGATTGCCCGCCTGAAGAGCCGCCAACACGTGAGACACCTGAGAGAGAATACAGATATTAGGAGTCCCATCAAGACTGAAATGACATCCATAAGTCCAGTAAGAGAAGATCTACTGTGAACCTTCTCTGAGACTTTCCGAGCGCTGTCGATGAGCTCTTTCTTGGTGTAGGAGTCGTTTGGACTGCACTGCAGCGCTCCTGCTTTACTGACCAGACCAGTGCAGCTGTAGCCCAGCTCTGTCACCTGCTTCCTGATGTGAGAGCCGATCTGAAGAACAAATCACCTAACCGTTAACTAACACCTTAAATCCGGATCTAGTCGGGCTTTCAATCAAAGAAATCCAAGAAACAGCTTAACAACTTCAGTAATGTGATATATTTCAAAGTGCAACAGAATATTCAACAAGAAATGTAGGGTGGGATTTGATTGTATTTATCGGGAATTGACTGGATTATCAAAAGTGGTTTCTATTTGACAGCTGATTGGGGGAGGAGTTAAAAAATAAGAGGGCGTGGTCAGTTGAAAAGTAAAAGAAAATGCAATACTGTTAAAAATTTTGGAGTCATTGAAATTTTGGTGACACTTTATTTTAAGGTTCAGTTCTCGCTATTAACAAACCATTAACAATTACTTTTGCCTCAATAAACTCCTAATTAGCTGCTTATTAATAGTTAGTAAGGTAGTTGTTAAGTTTAGGTATTAGGTAGGATTAGAGATGTAGAATATGCTCATGCAGAATATGTGCTTTATTAACACTAATAAACAGCCTATATGTTAATAACAGGCATGTTAATAAGCATCTAATTAATAGTGAGAATTGGTTCCTATACTAAAGTGTTACCGATTTTTTTATTCAGCAAGGATCAATTTAATGTAAAGCATTATTCAAATAAATGCTGTTCTTTTGAACTTTCTTTTCATCAAATAAATCTGAAAAAAAAAAAGTTTTCACAAAAGTTTCCACTTATGAAAAAGTTTCCAAAATATGAAGCAGCACTTTTTCAACATTGATAACAATCAGAAATGTTTCTTGAACAGCAAATCAGCATATTAGAATGATTTCTGAAGGATCAATATTTCACAATATTATTGCTTTTAAAACATAAAAAAACAAACTGACCCCAAACTTTTTACGGTTAATGTTTCTTTACTAAGAATACAAACATTCAGAATAAGTTCTCAATAAGAGCAGGAACATGCAGAAACAGCAAATGGAGTCACTTTCATATAAATTATAACATTATGTGGAAAGGCCATAAAATCTACAGAAAAGGAAAGCATATGTCACGATACCTCGTCATTCTCGGCAGTCATGGCTGCACATCTGGCCTCTGACGCCAGGTCACCGAACTCTGTGGTCAGCTGATTGGCCAAACCACCCAGCTCATCAGGGTTAGTGTTGGATTTGGTAACCTGGCAACACAGCATTTCAAAAACACACCGTCAGCCTTTACTTCTCTATAAATACTGCATAATTCTCCCTTCTGGAACTATTTTGAACCATAACATCGAAAACAAAAATGAATGAAAAATATATTCAAGGCGAGCATTTGTAAGTGAAAATGCCTAGGAGTGACTGTGGAAAAAAATCTAACTCATTAATTTATATGATACCACCAGAATAAAAATGCACTCTCTGGTGCAGATGTTTTATTATGCAATTGGCTGCTTGGCCTTCTCTTCTACTGACGCCAATAGAAACATTTATATAAAATCTATTATAGTTTCTACAATTGATTCTGCTTTTCCTTTTTATCTCTGTGAAGCTGCTTTGACACAATCTGTAGTGTATAAAGCACTATAGAAACAAAGGTAACTTTTGGTCTGAAATTAACTTTTCCTACAGGGCATCTTCTCTTCTACTGACTACTCAACATAAAAAGCATGAATAAGTTTGCTGCTGTGTAACAGAACAAAGGCATGACTATTAATTGTCTGCTAATTTTTGGCAGTGTCCAATCAGGAGCCAAGCTGATTACAACCCACCTGTGTCTTTCAGCAAAACATAATTATTAATTCATGAGAACATTACTGGCTTTAATTAACCGGCTTTTCATGGATATCATTAAAGTTTGATTGATATATTTTCATGTTAATTCATATTTGAACACTCAAAAAATAGTTAATTGTTAAACACTGTATAATGTTTGTTAACAAGTATTTATAATACATTACAATATAGTTTATCAGATGTTCTTAAGGTGATAATTCAGGGATGCTTGTCAGGTTAACTATAACACATTATTTACACACTTTTTAGTTAATGTCCTTCGTTACAAGTCAAGTGTATTTCTGAATTCCGTACTAAACCCTAATTCTGTTTTCAGTTCATGTTTGTGCATATATTGTATTTTGCCCCCCAGCCACAGTGGCTTTTCCCATTCCCCCCCAATTCTTAATTCTACAGTCACTCAGACTGTTCCAGCACTAGTTTTTACCATCTCCTGAACGGTCACAGCGATAGCTTTGGCCGTCTTCACCATCGTGGTCTGATAATCCACAAACGTTCCTTCAGGTTCGATTCCAGGCCCGTCTTCCATCTTATTGATGGCTTGAGAGATGGAGTTGACCATGCCGCCCACTGCTCCTGCAGCACTAGCCGCCTCTGACAGAGTCGCAGCCAGATCATCCACCGCCTCCTTCATCATCTGAACAGACTCCTCCAGAGCCTCCTGTGTGTGAGCCGCCTGAGGACACACACAGACACGGACGCGCACACGCAGACGAAGACACGCACATGTGCGCACACGCACGCACGCACGCATGCACGCGCACACACACACACACACACACACACACACACACACACACAGAGAGAGAGTACTGTGAGACTGAGCACTACAGCAGATCTCCAACAGATACAATACTGTTCAAAATTTGGGATAAGTAAAATTTTTAATGGAGTCTCTTTTGCTCATCAAGGCTGCATTTATTTGAACAAGAATACAGAAAAAAACTGTAATATTGTGAAATATTATTGCAATTTCTAATATTGGTTTCCTATTTTAATATACTTTAAAACGTAATTTATTCCTGTGATGAAGCGCTGAATTTTTTGCATCATTACTCCAGTCTTCAGTGTCACATGATGCTTCAGAAATCACTCTAATATGCTGATTTATTATCAGTGTTGAAACTGTTGTGCCGCTGAATATTATTTTGGAACCTGTGTTGCTTTTATCCTTGATTCTTTGATGAATAAAAAGTTAAAAAGTACAGCATTTATTCAAAATAGAAATATTTTCTAACAGTTTTACTATCACTTTTTATCCATTTAACACATCCTTGCTGAATAAAACTATTAATTTCTTTAAAATAAAAAAGGAAAGAAAAAATTGACTGACCCCAAACTTTTGAATAATGGTGTATGTTGTGACACAAAATTTCTATTTTAAATAAACACTGTTCTTTTAAACTTTTTATTTATCAAAGAATCCTGAAAAAAGTATCACAGGTCCCAAAAAATATTAAGCAGCGCAACGTTTTTCAACATTGAGTATAAATCAGCATATTAGAATGATTTCTGAAGGATCATGTGACACTGAAGACTGGAGTAATGCTGGAGAATGCCTTGCTTCACAGGAATAAATTATATTTTAAAGTATATTAAAATAGAAAATTGTAGAACATTTTTTATTTCAATATTTCTGTATTTTTGATTAAATAAATGCAGCCTTGATGAGCAGAAGAAACTTATTTAAAGGTGCCATAGAATGCATTGATACAATATTTTAAATTGTTCTCTGATGTCCCCAGAGTGTGTACGTGAAGTTTTATCTCAAAATACCCCACAGATAATTTTTTATAGCTTGTTGAAATTGCCACTTTTAGGGTATGAGCCAAAACACGCTGTTTTTTGTGTTTGTCCCCTTTAAATGAAAATGAGCTGGTGCTCCCACCTCCCTTTTCAGAAGAGTGCGGAGCTTCAAGAGCTCATGCTCGCGGGCATACCGGTGTTACGGTTTAACTGGTGGTGACCGTGTTACTGACCTCACATTGCTTCCAAATGCAATTTTTAACTACCACATTCCCTATTTACGATCATTCTGGTAGCACGTGAAGGCAGCATTAGTGAAAACAGGCAGAAACAATGATAGCTTTAGCAACATTAGCCTTACAGAGAGCCAAGAAGCTCTTTTGGAAAACAAAATATGACGTGTGATGCTTACTTTGTCTGGAGTCTGGACGTTTGCGCACGAAGCGTTGGTATCGATCCCTCTTTCAGAAGCAATCTTTGCACAACTCAGCACTGAACTGACCCTCGTTTTTGAGGCAGTCCGGCGTAAAATGTTAGCACAAACGTATAGAACTTTTCCGTTTTTTTTCCAGGACATTTCCTTCGAAAATTTAATTTAACCACCGTGTCCTCAGCGGTCTATGGAGACCCCTATGTTCGTTGGTGCATCCCAACACACGACACTTTTAATGGCTCTTTGGCGCTGACATTGTACCTCCAGCAGCTACTGCAAGAAAACAGTAATGGCGGACCGCTGCTTCTCACTCAGGGCTGTGTATATGCTAATAGGGCAGAGAGCGTCACAAATGGGCGGGACTTTCCCGAGTATAACGTCATAGTAGTGAGAAATCTGGAACTGCTAGTGTGGAGAGACTGTTTATGATTTATTGGGATTATAAAACAATGAGTGGGTGGATTTTTACCATTATAGGCTGGTTGTTTTCTCACACTGCGGCCACACAACTGTGTTCAAACACCTTATAAAAGTGATTTTTGCATTCTATGGCACCTTAAAAAGCATTAAAAATCTTACTGATCCCAAGCTTTTGAACAGCAGTGTATAATCAAAACTACCAGAATCCAGCTGCTGTGTTTGGCTGGTGGCGTCTTACCTTGTGGTTTCCTCCAGCCTCTTTGGCCGTGTAGAGCATCTGTAGGGCAGACTCAGCTAGAGTCTTGGTTTGATCCAGTACGCTCATCTGCTGCTGGCTGTTCAGGATCTTAGACGCTGTACCGATGGCAGCCATGATGAGCGGCTCAAAGTAACTGACCATCTGAGACACCTGTGAGATGACGGCACACATTTAGCTCCCAATAAACACTGAGACCCGCTGAAACACATTTAGAAATGACTCAGACCTTGTGACCCAGCTGAGAGGCATCGGAGTGGGCTGCGATGGCCACAGGTTCAATCAGGTTACTGATCTCATGCACAGACGCCGCCATCTGCTCGTGAAGGGCCTGCAACACAACACAATATTACAATACCGCTGTATTACATTAATGATGAACACGAAAGCTGCGCCCTCAGCTCTGAGGATACTGCTGTAGTTCATCATCACCTCATGGGAGATGTCGTCTCTAGGCGTGAGCTGCTGGCTGATGGCTGCCAGAGACGCCTTGTCCACCTCACGGATGCAGTTATTAAGAACCTCAATGGCGTCATCACACTCCCTCTGACCTGGAGCCTTCTCCCTGAAACCATTTACATGACAGTATATGATTATGATGCATGGAAGTTATGATATCATTCACAACCGAATCGCATCTCGCAACACTGACACTGGTAATGAACTGAAGTGAATCAACACTGAACTGACTCACGCTGCAGAACGAACATTGCTGACTGATTTTAGCTGAACTGAACTTGTTTCAAATTGATAAGACTTCACACTAAACTAAACAAACCCTAATGTGAACGAAAGGTTTCACAGACATGGCAGACTTTACCAATAGGCCGAAGTCTTGTTTTTAGTTGATTGTTGAATAAAGGCTATAAATCCTGTGAATACCTCATGTTGGTGATGAGTTTCTTGATGGAGTCGGACACTGTTCTGGAGTGTCCAGCCAGCACAGACCATTTGGGCGGGTCTTTGGGGTTGACGGCCAGTGAGCGGGCCATCTGGATCAGGCCTGTAGAGCTCTCCAGCATGGTCTTAGCGGCCGCTACGATGGGCTGCATCGCTGCCAGACCCTGCGATCAGACACAACAGAACTTGTAACTTCCACCATGGTCTAAACAGGGTTTTCTATTTCAGCCTGGAGTCTGGTTCCCACTCCTGAGCCATGCACAACCCTGTCAATTCTGCACTGATCTATTCAATTTGTATATAGACAGAAAAAATGGAAGAGTGACCTTTGGCTTCTAAAGTCTGAAAGAAATTAATATGCTCTAATATGCATCCACAATTTAAAAAATATGACAAGGCAGAAAACCGTGTTTGTCGTAGATGGTCTTTTGTTTTTGCAACATAATGACAAAACAACATAATGACTTTTTGTGTTGATTTGTTATGAGTAATCTTATCAGTTTTCAAACTTGTTAATTTAAATACAAAGCTTTTTTAAGTTACACGATTATTAAAGTAAACATACCTACTTGGATATGTAAAATATAAAATATTTGGAAGTTGAATTTCCAGCAAAAAATGACTACATTGTGATATACACTACAGTTCAAAAATATGGGATTGGCAAGACTAAAATGTTTTTGAAAGAAGCCTCTTCTGCTCTCCTAGCTGCATTTATTTGATAAAAAAATACAGTAAAAACACCAATATTGTAAAATATTATTACAATATAAAATAGCTGTTTTCTATGTGAATACAATGTAAAATGTAATTTATTTCTGTGATCAAAGCTGAATTTTCAGCAGCATTACTCCAGTCTTCAGTGTCACATGACCCTTCAGAAATCATTCTAATATGCTGATTATAAATACCTTTCCTGTCACTTTTGATCAGTTTAATGCATCCTTTCTGAATAAAAGCATCAATTTCTTTAAAAACAGCCCAGACTATTGAATGTTAGTAAATTCTGTGATATAATGTGGTACCTCTGGGCTGATCTGTGCAGGTACGCTAGCAAACTCTGGGTTTGAAGCGAAGGCAGTCAGGTTATCCACAGCCTCGATGAGCGGCCCAGTGGCTTCCTTACACTTCAGTCTGTTCTCCTGGTTAAAGGCCCCATCAAGAGCCTGACGTTACAGCACACACACAGTTACATTCACCAATAATACCAACACTGCTGATCAGAAACAGACTGATCTGTGAGTCTCAAAACTCACTTTGATGGACTTGACGAGGTTGGCGGTGTTGTTCGCCACCTCTTTGGCACTCTGGACGAACTGTCTCTTAGCAACTGGGTTGGATGTTTTGGAGGAGGCGAGTCGGCAGGCGTTGCACAAGGCCGAAGTATGTTTGGCAACAATTGTGGCAGCAGAGAGGACCTTGGGAAAAGACGGTGCATAAAACACGGGAGTTATTTTGTCAGGTTATTTGTGATGACTTAAAAACTAGGTCAAAGCGTTCCTTTAAGAATTCACTTCCTATTTTGAGCTGTGAGTTCAAAGGAAATATCCAGATGTGAAATATAATAATTTGTGACCCTGGAGCACAAAACCAGTCATAAGTAGCACGGGTATATTTGTAACAATAGCCAAAAATACATTGTATGTCAAAATGATCCATTTTTCTTTTATGCCAAAACTGATTGGGGTATTAAGTAAGATATTTAGTAAATTTCCTACCGTAAATATATCAAAACTTAATTTTTGATTAGTAATATGCATTGTTAAGACCTTCATTTAGACAACTTTAAAGACGATTTTCTCAATATTTAGATTTTTTTGCACCCTCAGATTCCAGATTTTCAAATAGTTGTATCTCAGCCAAATATTGTCCTATCCTAACAAACCATACATCAATGGAAAGCTTGATTATTTATGCATAAATCTCAATTTCGAAACATTTACCCTTAAGACTGGTTTTGTGGTCCAGGGTCACATTTGTGAAAGTCGATCAGACACTGGGAGTCCTGCTTGGCCATTTAACAGAAGCTTTAATGATTGCACATTATCGCATTATTATTTTTTGCTACATTTAGTGAGCAAAAAAGGTCCATTGTCTATTGGACCAACAGTCACTTTCAAACAGGGCAGCTTTCTATTGGTCAACACAGTGAATCCATGTAAATAACTTCAACACAAGCAAAATCTGCGTAAGGAAATTGTTCACCCTGACACAAAACTCACGAAAGTGTAGACTGAAATAACTGGATTTTGCCAGCAAAAAACCATCAAACAACTGTAGTAGTTAATAATACAGATTTGAATGCCATGTCAGCATCTGAGGCTATCTTCATGGCAAAAACTGAGTTACAAATTACAAGAGTTACAGAAATACAATAACAATGAAAACCCAACAAAAAAAAAGAGAGAACATTTAAAGTACTACAAGATGTTTTACATTTACATATGATAAAAAGTCTACATTTTCTGGTAAAAACAAACAAGTCCTTAAGTGAGCTTACTTTATAAAAAAGTTGTCTTACTTGCATTAAAAGTGGGAAAGTCTTGCAAAATCATCAAACAAATGTAAATGCAATCACAACTTTAGTTCTCCCTCGTGTTCCAAAATCTCCAAACAGTCACAAATATGTTTTTATAAATAATGCGTAAAAAGTTGTATCAGCCATTAAAATACCTTCCTAGTAATCTACTTCTAATAATGTACTCTCAATGCTAATATATAATATCTTGCCCAGAGTAAACCAGACCTTATGTATGTGTTCGCTCCTATCAGACCATTTCTGTCTAGGAAAGAGTCATGCTGTTACCTGGGACTGGGTGCAGGACGGGTCCACTAGGTTCTGACAGGCCGTCTGGATTGACTGTTTGGCTCTGGCGAACTGTGAGGGGTCCACAAGCCCCTTCTGCCCAGCGTGACTGTTCGGGTCAGACACACCCACCAGATACGCCCCCTGTGAGAGACACACAGAACAGCCGTCACTTCTGTTCTACACTGAACAATTCACATAGTCTCAGCATTCAGCTCAGCAGCAACAACAACCCTCCACACACACACACACACACACACACACACACACACGCTCTCTCACACACACTCACGCTCACTCACGCTCACACTCACTCTCGCTCGCACACGCACTCGCTCACGCTCACGCTCACACACGCTCACGCTCACACACGCTCACGCTCACACACGCTCACGCTCACACACGCTCACGCTCACACACGCTCACGCTCACACACGCTCACGCTCACACACGCTCACGCTCACACACGCTCACGCTCACACACGCTCACGCTCACACACGCTCACGCTCACACACGCTCACGCTCACACACGCTCACGCTCACACACGCTCACGCTCACACACGCTCACGCTCACACACGCTCACGCTCACACACGCTCACGCTCACACACGCTCACGCTCACACACGCTCACGCTCACACACGCTCACGCTCACACACGCTCACGCTCACACACGCTCACGCTCACACACGCTCACGCTCACACACGCTCACGCTCACACACGCTCACGCTCACACACGCTCACACTCACTCTCGCTCGCACACGCACTCGCTCACACACACGCTCACGCTCACACATACTCGCACTCGCTCACACTCACGCACACGCTCTCACACACACTCGCTCACACTCGCTCACGCTCACACACGCTCACAAACGCTCACGCACGCTCACTCACACACACTCACACTCACACACGCTCACTCACACACGCTCACTCACACACACATTCACACTCGCTCACGCACTTGCTCGCACACGCACTCGCTCACACACACGCTCACGCTCACACATACTCGCTCACACTCACGCTCACACACACACACACACACACACACACACACACACTAAAGCAGTTAATTTAGCTAATGAGGACATTCCATAGATTCTAATGTTTTTATATAAAGCTAATTACATTTTCATTTAGTTATTTAGTAGACTCTTTTATCCAAAGTGACTTACAAATCAAAAAAATCAACAAAAGACCAATAATATGTGAGTGCTGTGACAAGTTTCAGTTTAGCCTAACGCAGTACGTGTAGCAAGGTTTTTTTTATAATAAATAAAAAGAAAACAAGTAGATAGAACAGAAAAAGAATAGGGAACACTAGTGTTAGAGGGTCATTTTACAATAGTTATAAAATAAATGTGAACATTTAACATTTTACTTTTTCCACCAGCTATAGCACACACACACACACACACACACACACACACTAAAGCAGTTAATTTAGCTAATGAGGACATTCCATAGATTCTAATGTTTTTATATAAAGCTAATTACATTTTCATTTAGTTATTTAGTAGACTCTTTTATCCAAAGTGACTTACAAATCAAAAAAATCAACAAAAGACCAATAATATGTGAGTGCTGTGACAAGATTCAGTTTAGCCTAACGCAGTACGTGTAGCAAGGTTTTTTTTATAATAAATAAAAAGAAAACAAGTAGATAGAACAGAAAAAGAATAGGGAACACTAGTGTTAGAGGGTCATTTTACAATAGTTATAAAATAAATGTGAACATTTAACATTTTACTTTTTCCACCAGCTATAGCTACATATATGCACACACACACACATTTGATTTCCTGTCATGGAAACTTTTAATTTTTGTTTGATATGTTTTTTTAATATCATATTTTTTTTTAATTAAATATATATTAGGGCAATAAGGTGCAAAAAACAAGATTACAATTACAGCAAATAGCAACATTTACAGTATTACAAATAGTTATTATCTTCAGTAGAGATTCTTTATAGCTAAATTGAACTCGTTCATAATTCATGAATTTTTATACATTGACACTCATTGAACTGAACCTAACAGCTGAATAATGACACTATTGTCTTGTTAGAGCTGCTATATAGCAGAATTTTGGATTTGCTTCATGTTTGAAGTTTGCATCATTGATTTTGTTATTTTCATGTTCATTACTGAAAAGCTGCTTTGAAACGATCTGTATGGTATAAAGCGCTACAGAAATAAAGGTGTATAGAATTTATAATATAAAGAACAGTTTTCAGCTTGTTTTGTTGATGTACACATCAACAAGACCTGCATTAACAATGTGGTATACCCCACACAATATAAATATTCTGATGTAAATTCGACTAATAAAAATGAAAAATTCTGATTACAGCTTTAAGGGAACAATTGACAGTTATGATTTTTATCAAAATCGAGCAGCCTTAGTAGAGAAAAACTGACTGAAGCACACACAACTGAAATTAAGCACTTTTGAATCAAATGGCAGCTGTGAGTGTTCGTGAAACCACTTTTAGGACGACACACAGGAAGCAGTTAAATATGACTCACTGCCCATCAAACCCATTATGAATTCTATTTGCACAAGTGTGTTCTTGTGCCTGTAAATAATAAAAGCATGACGGTGTGTGTGAAAGCACAGAAGGCAGCAAAGGAGAGCCCAGGAAGGCAAATGTGTTTGTTCATTTAATGCGCTCCTGTAACTCCAGATGTTTGATGCATCATAGCCCTGGTAACATTTTATCACGCACCGCCTCTTTAGGTCGACTAATTTAGCAGAGAGGAGTTTCACACACACTCACACACACACACACACACACACACACACACACACACTCTCTCGCTCTCTCACACTAATGAGGACATTCCATAGATTCTAATGTTTTTATATAAAGCTAATTACATTTTCATTTAGTTATTTAGTAGACTCTTTTATCCAAAGTGACTTACAAATCAAAAAAATCAACAAAAGACCAATAATATGTGAGTGCTGTGACAAGTTTCAGTTTAGCCTAACGCAGTACGTGTAGCAACACACACACACACACAGTGTTTTTACCTGAGCGGCTGCCTCAGTTAGACCACACAGCGCTTTCGACGCTGAACTGACCGAGTCTCCAAATTCTGGTAAGTTGCTGTTCTTGGCATTATGGGAAATGCCAGCCATGGCCTCGCCCAAAATCTGCACACAACATCAACATTAACATCAATGGTGACTGGGTGATATGGTTAAATATATATTTTTCAGCCATTTCATTGTGAAGCTGATCTGTGGCACACCTTTGAGTTCTCCATCACACTGTCAATGCAGTCGAAGTAGCCCATATCACTGACCGCTTCTGTGGGATTCTCCAGCATTCCTCCGACCGTCTGCAGACACACACAGTTAGCACACACAAAACAGATAAGGCAAATTAATATTGCTCTGAGGTTTTTGGTATGTCCAGGTTTTAGGATTTAGTTCTAAAAGTAAATAATTCTAGAGAAAGCAAATGCTTTCTTGTGCAAATGTTTTGCTATTAAACATTCAGTGCTGTTTAGGTTCATTTTAAGATGTGAACAAATAAAATGAAAACTGTGTGTCCACACTAGAACAAAGATCTTTAACGTTCAGATTACGTTTCTTAAAATGTATCAAGTTAATTACAAAACAAACAAAACCTTTCAAAAGTTTGAAGTCAGTAAGATTAAAAAATAACAATCCCTTATTTAGCAAGAATGCATTAAACTGATCAAAAGTAACAATAAAAAACATTTATGTTACAAAAGATTTCATTTTTAAATAAATGCTATTGATTTGAACCATAAAAGAATAATGAAAAAAGTATAAATTTCCACAAAGATATGAAGCATCACAACTGTTTTCAGCATTGATAATCAGAAATGTTTCTGGAGCAGCAAATCAGCATATTAGAATGATTTCTGTAGATTATGTGACACTGAAGACTGGAGTAATGATGCTGAAAATACAGCTGCGCATCACAGAAATAAATTACATTTTAACATATATTCACATAGAAAACAGTTATTTTAAATTGCAATAATATTTTACAATATTACTGTTTTACTGTACTTTTGATCAAATAAATGCAGCTGTTGTGAGCAGAAGAGACTTCGTCTTACTGACTCCAAACTTTTGAACGGTAGTCTAACTTGTCTAAAAAACCAAGTACGAATGGATTCTGTAGCTGAGAAGAAAAATCAAAACAATGCTGCCTTTAAAATGTTTTCTGTTGCTTTGCTGACATTTTCAATATCATCCAAAAACAGCACAACAAATAACTGCAGCTCAATATCAAACAGGATTTCAATTCATGCAGCATATTTGCGTACGGAAGAACATGTATAAACAAAAACTACATATTTTTGAAGCATTTTATTACATTATTCTAATAAATAATGTAATAAAAGGGACAACTCGTGGCACAAAAGGTGTGTCATCTCTCCTCATAAAACAGATTGAGAGCAGATCTGAATATGAGAGAATTCAATCGCTTTCACTCACACAAACTGATGAACACAGAAAAGATGAGAAGTAAAAGAGAGAGCAGAAGCACCTCAAGCTCACGGAGAGCGTTGTCACACTCCTTCTGTCCCGGAGCCTGCTGGGTACACATGCTGATCAGCTGATTAATGCTGTCTGTCACCGCGCTATCGAGAGAGAGAGAGACATTAGAGTTTGCTAGGAAGGGAAGGAATAGTGCAAGAGATCTGTGAGGAACAATCCACCCACGTATGTTACCACACACTCTCTCTCTCTCTCTCTCTGATGCTCTGTGAGGGAGTGATGGGAGTTTTTGGATTGCAAGCGCTGTAAAGCCATTAGCTGCTGTTGTTTCATCCCATCTACCTCTTTCACTCACACACACATCAGAGAGCAGCAGCGATACAAACAGGTTTGCTTTATAGATGCCTATTACATAACTGTGCTCATTCCAACCCAAATGTGTAGAAAAGCGAGCATGCCACTCATGTAATGTATGTCAACAGAGGAGCTGTGTGCGTGTTTCTTTCTTACGATCACAGGCACTGTTTGGCTAGCATGCCATCACACAGCACAACATCGGACTCGATCCTCCAAAGAAAGAGTGCAGGGCTCTGTTCCAAATCACAGAGAGCTGCATTTTAGATGCTTTCAAATAGTAGTTGGATAACTATAACGGCCTGCTTTTGGCCAAATTCTAAAGATGTGCTCACATTTACCATTGCTTTGGGAAATTTTGTGTGCGACTCAAATAGGTCACATGGGTTTCCTGTATGTTACCAAAAAAACCGCTTGGTTTGAAAGTGCCTTCTGTGTGAGCTGTGCTTTATACATCTCTATGCTACAGATGATGGAGATTTTGCTTTGTTTGCGAAATTTTGCTGCAGTTTTGCTAATGTCTGACTTTGACTGCACTTTGAAGTTCGCATGAAATCAAAATGTACAATATTTATTTTGTTAGTGAACATTGTTAGTCTTAAGGTGAACAATTAATCAGTGCAAGTTAATCCTCTGAAAAAAATAGTTTGTCTTGCTAATCCTTAATCAAAATCTGATCATTTGCTCCCGCTCCGGAATGGCACTCCTGCTCTGATGACGTCAGTTTGACGGCTTGGGCAGAATTTGCTTAACCACGCCCCTCCAACCATTAGTTTGCGGCGAGTGAGGGATGAGAGGAGGAGCGCAAGAATAAAAGCCCGCCCTCTACTCAATATTCTGTTTCAGGTGGAAATACGTCACCATACTGAAATAAAGTCGGCTGAAACTTCCGGTTCACTCTGACTATAAAACAGCATCACATTTCCCAATCCCAAAATACTTTGCTACAAGCTAGGAGTGTCGCAATAATAACCACAATATTTAAAAAATGAAATTCTCTTGTTATGTAAATACTGCACATATGATAATATTGTATATAAACCAGCACCAACAACCTGGTTGATATTAAATTTAATTAAATTGACAATATAACAGGTGGAACTATCGTATCTGTTTGTCACCCCTCATAAAATGACGATGTGGCGGTGTCTGAAACCACATACTCTCCGAGTAGCTACTGCTTTTGAATAAGTAATTACGTAGCGATTGTTAAAAAAGTAAGTTCTAGAAAGTATGTAGTATGAATATAATCCGGAAATACTAGGTTCAGTCCGGCCGCCGCCTCGTTCAGATTCACCTGAGCCTCCTGGAAACTCTTCCCGCTCACTGGGAACTGAATATCAGATAGGAACAGTAACTATGATACGGCTCAGTGTAGTATTTAACAGAAACAGGAAACACAAAGTAAACATTACAAGTAAAACTAGACAAAAAAACTAAACATTTCTAGACAGACTTGGTTGTTGGCCTGAGAAACCCTGGCTAGAAAGTTTGAAGTATTTTTAAGTTTTGAAAGTTTTAAGGCCGTGCAGTCGAATGGATAGATTGATGGCTGGATGGAAGGATGGACGTTTGGTTAATGATGGATGGAATAATTTTAAAGCCAGATAGATTGATAGATGGATGGAACAATTGAAAGATGCATCACAACAATCAAGTTGCGTAACATCTCATGCCATGAGCGGCACGTCAAGTGATTTAAGATTTTGAACCAAAAGTAATTTTTTGCAATTAATCACACTAAATTAAAACATTAAATCGACAATCCTAATTAAAACACATTTGAACTGTTTGTGAGTTTTTAGTTTCTCTTAGTTGACAGTCACTGGATTTGACTATGACTTTTGTCTGTTGAACTGCTGGTTTCGTCTGGTCAGAGGAGAACTGGTCCCCGACTGAGCCTGGTTTCTCCCAAGGTTTTTTCTCCATTATGTCACCGATGGAGTTTTGGTTCTTTGCCGCTGTCGCCTCTGGCTTGCTTAGTTGGGGACACTTCATTTCCAGCGATATCGTAGACACCGATGGAGTTTTGGTTCCTTGCCGCTGTCGCCTCTGGCTTGCTTAGTTGGGGACACTTCATTTCCAGTGATATCGTCGACTTGATTGCACAGATACTATTTAAACTGAACTGAGCTGGACGATGACATCACTGAATTCAATGATGAACTGCCTTTAACTGAAAATTGAGTGTTTACTATTGTCCTCTTGCATTATTGACACAATATTCTCCTAATTAATGCTGTACAGTTGCTTTGACACAATCTGTATTGTTAAACGCGCTACATAAATAAAGGTGACTTGACTTTTAATTTTGGGCCACATATTTTCAGATTTTAAACATGATTTTTCTGCCAATTCTTCTTTGGCAGTCTGAACAGAGATTCAATTTCCATGTGACTTTGGTGTTTGTCAAAACACGGTATGTAATTTAACTGGAAAGTGGCAAAAAAAAAACCTCCACCAAATGCAATTTCTGCGTTTTCCTTTGCCATATTTTACAACATGTAATTTAAATTCAGCTTGACAGATCTTTCTAGCTTCAGCTAGGGTTAGACTATCATATTGAAACTGTCTAGTTAGAAATGTTAAGGCCTGTTCAATAGGCTTGCCGCGATAGACGGTGCTGACGGTGATACCGGTGTTAAGCCGCAACACCGGTTACGTCACTTGCCCACCGCGTCACATAAGTGAAAGTAAAATGCGCACGGCGCTTTTAAGCTATTTAAAAGTGAAGGAAAGCGAGGCAAAGAGGGAAAAATCAAACGAATTAAAAACAAACAATTGCTTTACTCCGAATTGCTGCTATTTTAAAGTGAAAGAAAAATGCGCACGGCGCTTTTAAGCTATTTAAAAGTGAAGGAAAGCGAGGCAAAGAGGGAAAAATCAAACGAATTAAAAACAAACAATTGCTTTACTCCGAATTGCTGCTATTTTAAAGTGAAAGAAAAATGGGCACACCGCCTTTACAAGCTATTTAAAAGCGAAGGAAAGTGAGGAAAAGAGGGAACGCCCCCGCACCCACGGTGATACTGGTGTTGTCACACGTCGATTAACCGGTGGGAAAATTTCCTCACCGTCACAACCCTACTGTTCACACCAACAGCAATATTTGGAATAAAAATGCAAATCCATTCTCTGACAGTAGGCGGTGCTTATGGAACAACAGAAATGCAGTGGTAGACAAGGCTGTGCAACTTTACATTTCTGACACCAACAAAGAAAGTCGAATAGTATTAGCCTATTTTTTAAACAGCTGTTTAGATTTTTGCATTTGCTATTGTGTTTATCAAACATGGTTCCAGATTCTTCTTCTGCTTTTTACTTTTCTTTAGCAAAACAGTGAGCACCACCAAGCGACTACTGGCGTGTCCCTATATGCGTGAGTCTCACTGGTTGGCTAATTTTCTTCACAGATAAATGTAAAAAGAGATTAGTACGCCTCTCCATAAATAATTATGTCGCACTGACAGCATGCAAATGTTTTTTTGGTCTGAACAGCAGTTTCCCACAGACTTACACTCTATTTGTGGCAGCATATATATGCAAATTCATTCTCTGCCAGCAGGTGGCGCTTAGAGTGAGAGAAATAGAGGTTTCCTAGTAACGCTGTAATCAAAGCAGCGCTCCGCTCACAAACGCTGCTTTGTCAGACATTACACGCAAGATGAAATGAAAATTACATCCAAAATTTTCTTAAGACAGTCGGTTTCCTTCAGAAATGCAGTGATATAAAAACACCCGCACTCAATGTATGGTAAACACTGTAGTCTCATAAAAGTGTAAATTCTGCAGATTACATTATTGTCCAGTATTGTACTGCCAGCAATTTATTATAAAAACGTTTTCATAATTGTAACATACATATTTACATACATAATTATTCAGGTGCATGTGTGAATTACAGGGACACTGAAAATGTCCTCATAAATCACCTTCTCGTTGTAATACCTATGTCATACCCATGTTATACAAATTTGTGTCCTCATAAACCACATAAACATGCACACACACACACACACACACACACACACACACTCCAGTCATCAGCAGAACATTTAAGAGGCTTCTCCAGCTATGCTAATCATAGACACACAACAGGCAATTTTCTTCTCAAAATAATGGGCACTTCAACCCTACAGCAGATCAAATCTCCCATCAGCAATTAAAAGGGAGGTTTCGTTACTGAATTTAAACCCATTCTATTGAGCTATTCTCATAAGTATTCAAGCTGAGGTCGGGTTTAACCTGGGCCAGTCTCTGCTGGCTGTCAGGGTCTCCCGGTTTGGCAATGGCTCTCTTGGTCTCCTCGATCAGGCTGGCGGATTTGTCCATGACATCCGCGGTGCAGTCCAGCATGGCGTTACGGGCATGAGGGTCCTCGGTGTTGGCAGCCACTCCACGAGCAGCCGAAGCCAGTGAACGCAGAGCCTGAGCCACGTCACGAGCAGCCATACCTGCAAAACACACATAAACCATCCAGAAACAGACATTAGGAGAGATTCAGGGTGCCCACAATGAACACATGACTAACGGCCGCCACAAATTAATCAATGTATGGGAAACACTGAACAGACACATATTTTCCATTTAAATTAAGATGTTTGTCGCACCACATTTTGGCAACAAATATTCGTCTTGATGTGAACAGGCCTTTAGAGCTGGACAGTTTTTGTGCAACGAATTGTGTTACATAAGGCACTTTAGACAAAAGTCACAGGACCATCCAGGTGACAACAATATTGCAAATTGCATTCTGGAAAATACTTTGTGAAATGTCTTTATGGCCAGGGGGCTCACTTTATCAGACAGGAGTTTCTTGCTGGCTTCTCCTACAGTTCTGATGGCATTATCCACATCTCGCAGCCGAAGCCAGTGAACGCAGAGCCTGAGCCACGTCACGAGCAGCCATACCTGCAAAACACACATAAACCATCCAGAAACAGACATTAGGAGAGATTCAGGGTGCCCACAATGAACACATGACTAACCCTTATGGGTTTCAAACCTGCAACATATGGGTTGAGTTACGAGAAGGAGCTTTAACCACTATGCCACACCTGTGTCTGTGTTTCTGTGTTTGCTACATCAGCGACAGATGAATAATATATTCCACAGACAGGGGGCGCTGCATAACATTGGACAAATAGCTAGCGGTGTGTGAGGTTGATGGGGTTACCTGTGTAGTTCTCATTGCCTTGGGTGGCTTCACTGAGGAGCTGAGCAATAGCAGAGCTCACAGCTTTAGTGCTGGAGCCCAGATCCTGAGAACACTTCTCCAGCTACTCACACACACACACACACACACACACACACACACACACACTCAATCTCTGGACCAAAACCTGAGCTGCTTATCTAGACCCATCTGACAAACTGAATTCATTGAACTTAAGGTTACACTAGTGGTTTAACCCTTACAAAATAAGTTTAAAGTACGTTTAATGGTTTAAGAATAAAAATACTTAAGTAGAAACTTAATATGCAAAAATAATCAACTAAAACTGTGTTAAAGGAATCATATTGTTATATTTCAGAAAGCATGCTCAAACTATAGATATGAATGATACAAACTGAAGGTACACTGTGATTTTCATTCACAAAGCACATTTTTAGACTTCATAAAAATAAAACAGCATTCAGTAACATTTCATTGGGTGTAAAACTATAGTAAACAAAATGAGGACGACAGATTTCAGTTTTTCATCAGTGGTTCTCAACCCTTTTGACTGCAAGGCATTTTGTCTACCACAATATCATTTCTACAATATTCTATAATACTGAACCTATTTCAATCCCAATAATCTTTTGAATTAAATTGCAGTATTTTTAAGAGCTGAATGTTCTTCTGGATTCCCACTCTTGTTAACCATTAATTTGCATGACTCCTCCAGTTGTTCATGATTTACTGGATTAAGGATAATGATTTCTTTCACAATTTCTATCTGATAGAACATTTTAGAGTTTTACATAACCACAAAAATGTATGTTCATTACGAAAATGAGTTTTAAGATGATTATTTATTATTTTACAGGACTATTTCAGATCAAGAAATAGGTAGTGATGTTATTATTATTATTATGATTATTCTAGAAGATTATTTTTATTAATGCTTTGTCTTATTTTAAATGATTTAAAATTATCTTAAGGCCCACTGGTTGAAATCTACTTCCCAAAAAGATCAAAAGAACAACACAGATCTATGCTGCTGCTCTAAACTTGTTACTGATGCCTTGAAAAGGAAAAATACAAAATAGTTCTGTCATCAGCAACATAGCATATACAAGCAACAGAATTTTTCTAAGATAAAATGAGCTTGAAAAGACAAAAAAATCCCAGTGTAGTGGCTTCTGTCCAGCAGTTGTTTTTGTGACATGAAGCGCCTGACTTGTGGGTATAGGTGTGAAAACTGACACAAATGAAATCATGCTTGCACAAACATACACTAGCAGTCAAACGTTTGAACACAATATTATATTATATTGTTCCACTTTTAGAACAATGATAAAGTCAATGCAAAAACAATAGAGCAACACAAAAGGAAAGTTTTGAAATTACATAGTGATGAATACACTAGTTCCCAGCTCTGCTCACTCTGGGTATTTTCTCAACTAACTTTCTCAGGTGTCCTGGGACACTTTTTGAACAGTACTGAATGAGTCTGCATGCATGCTGGACACTTATTGGCAGCAGGGATGTTCAGTGTTGGACTGGTAGTGTACAAACAAACGCATGTAGAGCACATTCACACACTCACCGTTTCTCCAGGCAGGGGTTTGAGTTTGCCTTCAGCAGCTGAAGCTTTGGTCTCCTGCATGTCCCTCTCCAGCCCCCGTACCATTGTGAGAGCGTTATCAATCTCCAGAGGCCCACACGCCTCCTGAGCCTGAGTCAGACAGAGAGACAACCGAATGAAATTCACTGCAAAAGAGCTACATGTGTTCACCAGGCCTCCGTCATGTTCACTTACTTTGTATGCATGTGTATATCACAGTTCTAGCAGAACTGTTACAGAAACAGACACTACTGACTTTCTAAATAAAAATTCCTCAATCATCCTGTGGATGATTCATCTGCGGATATAACCAGCTTCATTATCTTTCATCGAAATGCAATAACTTGCTCCACCTCTGAAATGACTTTCCTAGTTGGTGGATGACAGCAAGCTCTTATACTTTACAACATCTCCCCTCCAACCACCTTTCAAATATAGACCATTCAAAAAAGGTTTCTTATATTTTTATAGTTGAATATTCTGATGCGTCACAGAAGTAAAATGAGTTGCAAATACATTTTGGTTCTAAATGTCAACTGGTAAGTGTGTCATTATCAGGGCACTGGTTGAAAATCTGTACCCAGAAAAAATAAAAAAATAAAAAAATAAAATAAATATTATTTCGAGATTGTATTACTTAAATTATAACAATTAAACAAATAAAGAAATGAATATATTATTTTTGCAATAATACTATTGTACTGTAAATTATAAAAACAAGTGTTTTATATTATTAATAATACTAATAATAATAATAGCAACAACAACAACAACAATCTTTTTTTTTTTTTTAGATTGTATTACTTAAATTATAACAATTAAACAAATAAAGAAATGAATACATTATTTTTGCAATAATACTCTTGTACTGTAAATTATAAAAACAAGTGTTTTATATTAATAATAATAATAATAGCAACAACAACAATAATAAAATATTATTTTTTAGATTGCATTACTTAAATTATAACAATTAAACAAATAAAGAAATGAATATATTATTTTTGCAATAATACTATTGTACTGTAAATTATAAAAACAAGTTTTATATTAATAATAATAATAATTTTACAGAACAACAGTAAAATTACAATAAACAACTGTCGCAATTTCTTTATTTTTAAACATTCAACCATAAAGCTTTTATTTTGGTGGAAAACCAAAATTTCATGACATGAAAACAAAAGCTAAAACTTCTCGCCAAACTAAATGATCTATCAAACTGAATGCAGAACTCTGCTACGGTACCTTCTGTGCGGCCGTGCGCAGCTCAGCGAGAGCGCTGGCCAGGGTTTTGGAGCACTGACTGAGCTGCATGGCAGACGCCTGGTCACTGATGGTGGGAACCGTAGCTTTGGCCGCGGTCACCATTTTCGCTCCGGGCTGATGAAGAGAACAGACACCATGAGCTCAAATGATGCAGACTTGCACGTTATAACAGGAAGTGAAGGTCAGAAGAGTGAAAGGACCTGCAGGAAGTTCTGACTGGCTCCGATCAGGGCGAGCTGGGCGCTGGGGCTGTCGGGCTGAGCTTGACTCCCTCTCACACCCTGAACCAGCTGAGGGATCTGATCCGCCACCCCCTGCAAACACATCAAAGGGTTATTCCTTTAAGTCGTTAGCCAAGGGTTTATGTGATTATCTAGGCCTTGTTTACTATACAGTCAAACCAAAAATTATTCAGACACAATTTTTTATATTTTTTACTAGTGCGTGCAGACACTATGTAGCGATATAAAAATCTCACGATACGATAATATCACGATATGAAGTCCACAATACAATATGTATTGCAATATTTAAAAAATACAAATACAAATGAAGAATTGGAAAAAAATACAAAATTTTGTTCATTTTAAAGTTAAATTATTCTATCTAATGCACTTTGAGAGATCTAACCCATGTTCTTAACTAAGAAAACTTAAGTCAGAAAAAAAGTCAGTGAATTGACTTAAAGGGGTCATATGATGCGATTTCAATTGTTCCTTTCTCTTTGGAGTGTTACAAGCTCTTGGTGCATAAAGATCTGTAAAGTTGCAAAGACTAAAGTCTCAAATCCAAAGAGATATTCTTTATAAAAGTTAAGAGTCAGCCACGCCTACCTAAAACGGCTCGTTCTAACACGCCCCCACATGTCTACCTCACTATGTGGGAAGATTTGCATAACGCCGCCGAAATGTTCACGCAAAGAAAGAAGGCGTAACTTTTAATCTTAAACACATTTCATTACACCAAATACACAAAATAATGTTATTTTTAGCAGCATCATATGACCCCTTTAAAGAGGACTCAACCCTCATTTTATTTGTGATATACTGTCTCAATCTAAATTACATTCACACTGGTGTTTTAGGAAGCCAAACAAATTAGAATATACTTTTTGCCCGGAAGACCTATCGTTTAATATCGTCATGTGACCACGATAACAGAGACAGTTTTGCTGTCGCAATATCATGATATTGATAATATCGTTACATCCCTATTAATTTATGTAAGTGAGGTTAGCAAAATAAAGTGAACTGTAACATTATTTGGGACCAAAAATTATTCAGACACTTTGACCTGAGCATGTTTTGCTTAAGTGTTTTTTCTTTAATTGCTAATGCGACCTTTTTACACCACAGACTGTACAAAATTAAGCATTGCTTGGTAATTGGTTGACCTAAATTGTTATTATTTAATTGTGTACTTAAATTAACAGCTGACAGCTATTCAACCGAATCCATTACATACCGTTCTATCAAAGTTATCTGACATTATCAAGCTGAATTTGTTCTGACACAGTTTAACTCTGTTCTTGTCATATTTTATTACCTTTTCTAAACTATAGCGAATAAACTGTGATAATGTGAGAAATATTGAAGGTGTCTGAATACATTTTGGTTTGACTGTATATCAATCATAACAAATTGCAAGCAGGAAAACTGTAGTGATTTATCAAAAATGAGCGTTAAGCACAGAATTATGCTTTATGTTTCACGTCTGCTCACATCAGTCATTCACAAACACAGTGCTTGGGTGAACTAGTTTTAACCCGAGAGAAACAGGAAGTGGCTGCTGAGAGACACACACCTTGCAGCTCTGCACGAGTTGTTGCTGGGCCGCAGGGTTCTTGTTGGAGGAAGCGGCGTGTTGCGCTGCAGCGATAGTCTGAGTGGCAGCCGCCGCGGCCTGTTTCGCTGCATTCTGACGAACAGATATGACACAAATATATTTATTATAAAACCACATACTTCTATCAACCTACCAACTTCTATCTACCTGAATTGGGAAATTCTGAAATCTCAAAAACTGCTTGTTAAACTCACATTTAAACATATTTGAACTATTTCAAATCAGCAATAAAATCTGACATCAACTGACCCATTAATGTGGTTTCTTACCCTCTAATTGGTGATTGGCTCTTTTTTTTTTAGAAAGCAGGACTTATTCTGCCATATTGTGCATTGCATTTTCTCCCATTCTTAGTAAAATGAGTAAACAGGCTCTGTATACATACACTACTGGTAAAAAGTTTGGAACAAACAACTTTTTCATGTTTTTAAAACAAGTCTCTTTTGCTCTCCAAGTTGAAACTTAGGTCCCACTTTATATTAAGTGGCCTTAACTACTATGTACTTACATTTAGTACAATGCACTTATTGTGTACATACATGTTTTTACATTGTACTTATATTTTTAAAAATACCTGCATGTAATTACATCTGTAATTACTTTCTATAATTGCATTTATAATTATACAGTTGACCCTTCCCTTACACCTTAACCACACTTAAACCTACCCATACCACCAAACCTGTCCCTAACCTTACCCCTATTCCACCTCAATAGCAGCAGAAGTGTACTGCAATACAATATGAACACAATAAGTACATTGTACTTAATTTTTGATGTACGTACATGTATAGTAGTTAAGGCCACTTAATATAAAGCGGGACTGAAACTAATTTATTACTTTTTAAAATAATGGTTTTCTTTGAATATTTTTTAATTTTTAAAAGGATCACATGACACTGAATACTGGAGAAACGGCTACTGAATTTATAACAGTAATAAATTACATTTTAAAATAAATTCAAACAGAAAACTGTAACATCCTTGGTGAGCATAAGTGACAGACAGACTAGTTGGTTTTTAGGGTCTTTTGCCTGCTTACTAGGTGTTGCTATGTAGTTCTGATATTTTATTTGGTTAATAGACGAAGTTTCTATTTGGTAGCTGCTAGGCACTGTTAGAGCTAGGCTGTTCTAGCTGGCTGCTAGGGCTAACTTGGGTCTTCTGGCAAGTTACTGGAGTATTTTGGCTGGCTGCTGGAGAGCTCTGGCAGGAGGCTGACAGTTAGACAGACGGACAGATATCACAAAGAATTAAGCCGTACAATGTTCTTTTCACTGCAGATAATAAGCAAGCTGAAACAGTATAAAACAGAGAAACAGGTCTGTGGAGTTTGTGAAACCTAATAGTTCTTCTTTCTCACAAGTTGCAACAAGTTACTTGTGAAACTGCAACACTGAGCTATACACACTGCAGTCTTTAAAAATGCGATAAATCATTTTCACTGTAGCCTTTGGCAAGATTTAACTCCATGAGCAATAAAACATCATATAACTTTACCCAAATAGGGCAGCAAAGAGATGTAATAGTTGGCAACACTTCTAAAATTAATCTCAGTGCAGGCTATTATTTTTAAAAGAGAATGTGACCTCACAAAAAAACGTCATCACATCTTCGAGTTCTTGAAGGTTTGGATTTGTGAGTGTCAGTCCTCACCTCCAGTTTGTTGACCAGCCTCTTTTTGATGGCATTTTGTGCCGCAGCGTTGGTGGCCATGCGCAGACCCTCGGCAGCTTCACGCAGCTTCTGCTGCTGCTCCTCGCTGTCCGGGTTAGCAGCTGCACCCTGCCGGCACACACAACAAACACTCAGCTCCATGCACAGCTATCCAGTCTAAAAGCACACACTGAGGCGTCTTCTGTCCCACCTTCGCAGCTTCCACCATCTTGGCCGTGGCGTCAGCCAGGAGTTTGGCCGCAGACAGGAGTTTGCGGGAGTTCTCCAGGTCAGTCTCGCCCTCCGCGTCGGCCTTGATAGCATTGACTAAATCTGAGGTGGCCTGAGCAAGCGTTTAATATCGTCATGTGACCACGATAACAGAGACAGTTTTGCTGTCGCAATATCATGATATTGATAATATCGTTACATCCCTATTAATTTATGTAAGTGAGGTTAGCAAAATAAAGTGAACTGTAACATTATTTGGGACCAAAAATTATTCAGACACTTTGACCTGAGCATGTTTTGCTTAAGTGTTTTTTCTTTAATTGCTAATGCGACCTTTTTACACCACAGACTGTACAAAATTAAGCATTGCTTGGTAATTGGTTGACCTAAATTGTTATTATTTAATTGTGTACTTAAATTAACAGCTGACAGCTATTCAACCGAATCCATTACATACCGTTCTATCAAAGTTATCTGACATTATCAAGCTGAATTTGTTCTGACACAGTTTAACTCTGTTCTTGTCATATTTTATTACCTTTTCTAAACTATAGCGAATAAACTGTGATAATGTGAGAAATATTGAAGGTGTCTGAATACATTTTGGTTTGACTGTATATCAATCATAACAAATTGCAAGCAGGAAAACTGTAGTGATTTATCAAAAATGAGCGTTAAGCACAGAATTATGCTTTATGTTTCACGTCTGCTCACATCAGTCATTCACAAACACAGTGCTTGGGTGAACTAGTTTTAACCCGAGAGAAACAGGAAGTGGCTGCTGAGAGACACACACCTTGCAGCTCTGCACGAGTTGTTGCTGGGCCGCAGGGTTCTTGTTGGAGGAAGCGGCGTGTTGCGCTGCAGCGATAGTCTGAGTGGCAGCCGCCGCGGCCTGTTTCGCTGCATTCTGACGAACAGATATGACACAAATATATTTATTATAAAACCACATACTTCTATCAACCTACCAACTTCTATCTACCTGAATTGGGAAATTCTGAAATCTCAAAAACTGCTTGTTAAACTCACATTTAAACATATTTGAACTATTTCAAATCAGCAATAAAATCTGACATCAACTGACCCATTAATGTGGTTTCTTACCCTCTAATTGGTGATTGGCTCTTTTTTTTTTAGAAAGCAGGACTTATTCTGCCATATTGTGCATTGCATTTTCTCCCATTCTTAGTAAAATGAGTAAACAGGCTCTGTATACATACACTACTGGTAAAAAGTTTGGAACAAACAACTTTTTCATGTTTTTAAAACAAGTCTCTTTTGCTCTCCAAGTTGAAACTTAGGTCCCACTTTATATTAAGTGGCCTTAACTACTATGTACTTACATTTAGTACAATGCACTTATTGTGTACATACATGTTTTTACATTGTACTTATATTTTTAAAAATACCTGCATGTAATTACATCTGTAATTACTTTCTATAATTGCATTTATAATTATACAGTTGACCCTTCCCTTACACCTTAACCACACTTAAACCTACCCATACCACCAAACCTGTCCCTAACCTTACCCCTATTCCACCTCAATAGCAGCAGAAGTGTACTGCAATACAATATGAACACAATAAGTACATTGTACTTAATTTTTGATGTACGTACATGTATAGTAGTTAAGGCCACTTAATATAAAGCGGGACTGAAACTAATTTATTACTTTTTAAAATAATGGTTTTCTTTGAATATTTTTTAATTTTTAAAAGGATCACATGACACTGAATACTGGAGAAACGGCTACTGAATTTATAACAGTAATAAATTACATTTTAAAATAAATTCAAACAGAAAACTGTAACATCCTTGGTGAGCATAAGTGACAGACAGACTAGTTGGTTTTTAGGGTCTTTTGCCTGCTTACTAGGTGTTGCTATGTAGTTCTGATATTTTATTTGGTTAATAGACGAAGTTTCTATTTGGTAGCTGCTAGGCACTGTTAGAGCTAGGCTGTTCTAGCTGGCTGCTAGGGCTAACTTGGGTCTTCTGGCAAGTTACTGGAGTATTTTGGCTGGCTGCTGGAGAGCTCTGGCAGGAGGCTGACAGTTAGACAGACGGACAGATATCACAAAGAATTAAGCCGTACAATGTTCTTTTCACTGCAGATAATAAGCAAGCTGAAACAGTATAAAACAGAGAAACAGGTCTGTGGAGTTTGTGAAACCTAATAGTTCTTCTTTCTCACAAGTTGCAACAAGTTACTTGTGAAACTGCAACACTGAGCTATACACACTGCAGTCTTTAAAAATGCGATAAATCATTTTCACTGTAGCCTTTGGCAAGATTTAACTCCATGAGCAATAAAACATCATATAACTTTACCCAAATAGGGCAGCAAAGAGATGTAATAGTTGGCAACACTTCTAAAATTAATCTCAGTGCAGGCTATTATTTTTAAAAGAGAATGTGACCTCACAAAAAAACGTCATCACATCTTCGAGTTCTTGAAGGTTTGGATTTGTGAGTGTCAGTCCTCACCTCCAGTTTGTTGACCAGCCTCTTTTTGATGGCATTTTGTGCCGCAGCGTTGGTGGCCATGCGCAGACCCTCGGCAGCTTCACGCAGCTTCTGCTGCTGCTCCTCGCTGTCCGGGTTAGCAGCTGCACCCTGCCGGCACACACAACAAACACTCAGCTCCATGCACAGCTATCCAGTCTAAAAGCACACACTGAGGCGTCTTCTGTCCCACCTTCGCAGCTTCCACCATCTTGGCCGTGGCGTCAGCCAGGAGTTTGGCCGCAGACAGGAGTTTGCGGGAGTTCTCCAGGTCAGTCTCGCCCTCCGCGTCGGCCTTGATAGCATTGACTAAATCTGAGGTGGCCTGAGCAAGGATCCGAGCCTGTCGCACCATCTCCCCTGAACACAGAGAGGAACGCGCCTGTGCGTGAGCTCCATTCATATGCATATCAACAAGTCTCTGCACATCAGTCCAAGCTATATTAAACACAGACTATTAAATGTTCCTGTTTTGACATTCAGCAGACACTTTTATATAAAGTGACTTACAATCAGTGTTGAGGGAGGTAACACATTACAAGTATAGCAAGTTACGTAATCAGATTACTTTTTTCAAGTAATCAGTAAAGTTAGGGATGCACGATATTGGATTTTTGCCGATATCCGATATGCCGATATTTTTAACACATTTTGGCCAATAGCCGATACCGATATATTTCCTTTTGTTTGGAAACAACACCAAGTCTCTCCTGTGTGGAAATTATAAGCAAATTATTTTTTAATTTTGGCTAGTTTTTAACAAGATTTTATTTGTTAGAATTAAATAAACAATAATGAAGATCTTTTATAATGACAGTACATTGAAGCTTTGAAAAAAAGCACCCAGAAAGATGCAGTATTAACCTTAACATTTTATTTTAAGATTTAACATTTGTAGATGGTCTGAAGCAAAAGAGTTGTAAAAATTCTGTAAATCTTTTAGAGCTCATAATTTGTTTAAAAACATATTACACATTAATGAATAAATGAGTATATATAAAATTATTTAAATTACAAGTGTCATGTTTGTGATTTTTTTTTATTCATGTAAGCTATAGCTTCTGACCTTTAAATCAAAACATACTCATGATTTTATGACATCAATTACTGCTTTATTTAATCAGAAACACAGTTTAATGTCTAAATTTGTGTATTTTACTTTCATTTTATTAGAAGTAGGCCAACAGCGCCCCCTACGGAATTAAAACTCCTTACTGAGCGAGCATTAGGACCCGGCAGTTTAAATGCAGCAATCCAAAACAGTGAATTTAATCATCATTCAGGCAAAACTTTGCTTCAAGAATGAGTCACACTGCTGACATGATCTAATCGCTAGCACACACTGAGCACATGTGAGTTAAGGCATTCCTCTTATCGGCAAGACATATCAGCATAATTTTTTTCATATCGGGCCGATATTTACATTTAAAGCCATTATCGGCTGATTCCGATATCGGTCCGATAATATTGTGCATCCCTAAGTAAAGTAAAGCATTACTTTACATGAAAAATATCTGAGCTGCTTTTTCAAATAAGTAACTCCAGTTACGTTGCTTTCCCATGCATTGGCAGCTCTCCTGTCCTCATGTTGAGAGAAATTGTGAGTAAGTGCAGAGGCGTTGTGTTCGCTGTGTGAACATGTTACTGTAGTTCCAGACTAAATGTGAACATGTATTCACTAATCTCACCTGCACAAAAACAGATTCAGTATTCCTCAAAATTAATAAAAACTGAGAAATGCAAACTTTAAAAAATGATGCAAACCTGCAAAAATTAAATGTTAAATAACACAAAAATAATTTATGTTTTTAATGCCTTTTTATTAACCAATGTCTTTGCTGCTGACCTTCGATGATCCAATTCAACCATACTAGTAAGCAAAAATGACTTTAGATAAACATAACATTTGTGGAGGCTTTTATTGCTGGGGAGTCTAGTCCTGCGTCCTATTCTTCATGCAATCCAGAATGGCAGCACAACTGAAAGGTTTGTTTCTGCGCCCTTTACTCATTTCACTTTTGGTGTGAAAGGGCTTTTACATTTGCCAAAACAAGGGATGGGTATCGTTTACATTTTATCGATACCGATACTGCCTATCGATACTGTTATCGATACTATTTGGTGCAAAAAATATGAAGTGAAAAGTTGTTGAAAATTTCAAGTTATTTTATTACTGCTGAACTTTAGCAACTGTATTAAAGTTCTTCAGTCAAGAGCAGTGAGCTATTTTTCTCTTTGTGTTTTATTTTATTAACATTAAAGGAATAGTTCACCCAAAAATGAAAATTGTAGTTTCTTTCTTCAATGGAACATAAAATAAGTTATTTTGAATAATGTTGGAACTACAATGTCAATGGGGACAATGCAGCACCTGTCTGGTTACCCACATTCTTCAAAATATCTTTTTTTGTGTTCAGCACAAGAATAAATAAAAATGAATACATGTTTGATACAACATGACTGATTAAATAATGACAGAATAAAAATTTTAGGGTGAACTATCCCTTTAATGACAAGCGGCAGCATGTTTAGTACTGCCGCTTTAAGAGCTGCACGCATCTGTTTTTCTCTCAACTGTTTACTTTCACTTTA